GATTTTCTTGAGTTGTTCCTCTCTAGATCTGTAGAATAATAGCTATCTCAGTTTTTCAGTAGTAACCCATTTGAATAGAAAGCTGCATATAGATGCACATACATGGACTTTTTAAAAGTCATACGGTTTGAGAGTATCAACATTTGACAATGCTGATGCCTCGAGTTGTGAGCTTAATTTGTTCCACGATTCTGGGGAACAAGGCCAAGTTTATGTTTGTGTGGAGAAGATAACAGCAATCATGTTCAACACCCGATGCAGAGTTTGCAAAGGAAAGCAAATATTTGCTGAATGGTTCTCTTCAAACTGAATTGTTTGCGAACTGAAGTGTTTGTGAACCAAGTCATTCCTCTACTAAATCTGTTTATTTGAATCAATTTCATATCCTGTGAATATAACATGTTGCTTTTCGTGATCCTTCAAAATTTCTAAATTTCACTATGAAAATTGGTTGGGATTAAATTCGAACAGATTACGATAATAAAATTGATCATAATCTCTTTAGAGTATAATCTCAACCAGTTAGCCAGACCTTGGCATTATCTGGTACATAGCCTGGTGAAAGGCCATGCCCTAATGCAGTCAGCTCTGCCAGTAAGCATTCTGTTTATTTAAATCTATGCCTGTACTAATTATAAGATGGACTGGTATAGTGTATAATGCTAAGAAAAAAGTAACACAGCCAAGTAAACAATAGCAGACCATCAGTGTTGAAGTCGTACCCTAGTTTCAGAGAGATTAAAAGTTTAAAAATGTAAAAAAAAAAAGTTTAAAAATGTAAATTTTATAACTGATAAAAAAGGATAAATCTTTTTTGTTTATTTATTTAAACTGCTAGATATCTCCAGGGGGCATTACCTCATATCCAGGAATGTTGGATTTGACCCCTCCATCACTCTTCTAGACCTGAAGGAATTGAATGAGGAAAAAAATGTTTTAGTTTTAGGGACAATGGCCCAGGTTCATTGAAAGAGAACCAACAATAAGGAACCTTATAAATACTACATGAGAGACATAAGTAATATGTAGATTTCTATTTGTGAATAATGTACATGTTTTAGAATTTTAAATACGTTTCTATAAAAGTGTTGAATTTTAATTTGAGTTGTGACCTGGGGATTTAAGAACTGTTAAGTGGTTTAGAGGTGAGATCTTTATAAGGGTTGCAACTTATTCTTGTTTGCCTTTTTGAAAAAAATATACTATACAACCAAGCACCTATAGTGAATGACTGTAAGCTTTGTGCTATACTTCCCATTCTTTTCTGTAAAAAAAATTCTTCCACTTTTAAAAAGAAAAAGAAAGAGTCTATTATGTACCTTAGTATATCCAAAAGCATTCAATCAATTCAACATTTTTACTGAGCACTTTCTTTATGATCTGTGCTGACTTAGGCAAGTGAGATACACTGGGGAACAAAAAAATTCAAAGGTCCTTGCCCTTTATGGAGTTTATTTCCAGAAGAAAATGTTAGGTTATAAAATATAATAAAAATACTAAACAATGTATGCAATGAGTCAGAAAAAAGGTGGTATGAAAAAATAAGGCAGCCTGACACGGTGACCAAGTGCTGTAATCCCAGCACTTGGAAGGCTGAGGCAGGAGGATCACTGCAAGTTCAAGGCCAGCCTGGGCTGCATAGTGAATTCAAGGCCAATCTGAACTACACAGCAAGACATTGTCTCCAAAAAACAAAAATGAAAACTAAAGAACAACTAAAGGGAGTCGGGAGTTAGAGCAGTGTAGGTGATAAGTTTCAAATAGGAATTTTACAGTAAGCTCCCATTGGGAAGGTGAAGTTTGAGCAAAACTTAAAGAAAGGAAGTTAGTCAAGCAGATATGGGAAGGGGGTGGCCAGGAAAAAAGGTTCAGCAAAGAAATTAAGATGGGAACATGCCAGATGTATCTGAGAGACAGGAGGCCAGTGGAAGTAAAGAAGAAAGAGAAATCAGTTGGAAGAACTGAGGCTAGCTGATGTAGGTTCTTGTAGGTCATTGGAATGATTTTGCCTTTTATTCCTAGTAAAAGTCAGAATCCATTATAGGTTTTGGGAACTGGGTGTGATATTACTGCCTTGTATATTTGAAGAATCCTATTAGATATTGCAATGAGCATGGATAATAAAAAACCAAGGGTAGAAGCAGGGAGACCTGTTGGGAGGACAGGCTAGAGGCGGATGAGAAATAGTAGAACTCAAAGCAGTGTTTTATTAGAGGAATAAGAAGGGGTAGAATTCTGAAACTAAAGTCATGAGCAACCTAGGAGATGAAATAGCTATCAACTGAGCTGGTGAAGAGTATAGGTGACACCAGAAGGGGAAGAGAAATTGGGAGTTCATGTCCAAAATTGAACTCCCACTTCCACTTCCCCTTCCCATACTACTTGTGGTCTTCAAATGACTGTTAGGTATCCAGACATGCAGTTGGGAAAAGGAGTTCAATGGAATTGAGGTTTGAGAAATAAGATCTGTGATGATATGTCATAGTTATCTGCACATGGATGATGTTTAAAGCCACGACACTGGATGAGATCATCAAGGAGTCGAGTAGAGAAAGAGAAAGCAAGAGGACCAAAGACTGAGCCTTCTCACATGATAACATTAAGGAATTAAGATTGAGGGGAAGTCAGCATAAGTAGATGGAGAAGGAGCAACCAGTGAAGTAGCTGGGAAAGAAGAAGAGCATGGTGTCTTGGAAGGCAAATGAAGGCAACACATTCAAAGAGAAGGGAGTCATAATTGTCAAATATAATGGGTATCCAATAAAATGTGTAATCAGAGCTGGCTGATAGACTGAACAAGTGAAACATCAAAATTGTAGGTAGCATTGCCCTTACTCTTGCTGTTTCCTCTGATAATTGTGGTGAACATCGGTACCACATTACTCAGAGAGCAAACTATGCTGTGAAGATGCTGTCAGCCTTTGGAATTATTTGTTCTTTATTTGTACATTGCAGAGCAGCAATATAGTTGATGCCCAGTAAACTATAAAATCTGAAGTCTTCTGAAACTGTATTGCTCTAAAATGATTGCTATATTTCTGTAAGACATGGGCTTCTGTTTAAATTCCTATACATTTTAAATTATGTTACACAGACACTAACTTGATGGCTTAGACTTAAAGATAGAAATTTGAATTGCCTTTAGATAAGAGTGCTTCTTTGGGAAACAAGCACTGCAATTTTATTTTATGTAACATGATGCAAAATAATAAAATTGTAATCAGTGGATTTTTTTTATTTTAGCTGGAGGATTCTGGCATCTATACCTGTGTTGCTAACAATGCTGCAGGTGAAGATACACACACTGTGAGCCTGACTGTAAATGTTCTCCCCACTTTTACTGAACTTCCTGGAGATGTGTCATTAAATAAAGGAGAACAGTTACAATTGAGCTGTAAAGCAACTGGCATTCCTTTGCCCAAACTAACATGGACTTTCAATAACAATATTATTCCAGGTTGGTGATTTAATTCTTAATAAGTGAATAAATATACCCAGACTGTAGCTGTGGGAAATGATTGAGAAGTTACAAATGAAAATTTGATTGCTTTAAATTCTGTACAATGTGTGCTTCTTAGATTTTACTCTCCACCCATATGTACCTATAGGTACTGTTCATCCTTTTGGAAGAATATTTAATCACAAAATCATATATTGAATGTTATAAGTAAATAGATATTTTTTAGGTTAAAAATAATCCCTCTCCCCATGAGAAGACAGTAGAGAACGTATAGGCCAAGTTTGACTTATGCTGGACCCCCTTCATCACTGATAAATGATTTAAGTGGAGAACGTTGGAGTACTGATGATTTATCTAGTATTACAGCTAACCCTGCTTCCCCTTGTATGAATCAACCTCTGTTATAGTGCAGATCAATTGATGTGGAAAATTTCTGGGCACTATGTATTAAAATAGTGTCTGGGACCCAGGAGCACTCTGCCATGGGAGGACACATATCTACTAGGCTTTGCCATCAACAGAGAGACTCTGTCAGTAATGAGTTGTTGCATCCCAAATCTGAATTCTAAAGTACTGCACCATTAACATTTACTAAATGTCTTTGTAGAAAACTAGAAATAAGCTCAGATTTTTTTCTATTATAAAGATTTATGTTAATGGCCGGAATTCATTAACTGTATAATCTTTAGTAATAGAAAACAAAGTCTAAAAGATCTATTCAGTAGAAGGTGGAGTACTGATTTAGTCATTCAAACTTTTAAAGCTCAATTTTCCAGTTATAATATTCAGCAGTATAAAATTTTTAAAAATAAGTGGGGAAACCATGCAAAGTAAACATACTCAATATAATTAGATACATATTCTTTGCTTTAATTAAAATCTTACTTAGCATTAGTTGTTTTAAGATTAGAATATTTACCTTATATTCTCTTCCCAGTGTCTTTGTAAATATCATCACCATTTATTATTTATGGAGAAGTTTAAATTGTTACAAATTTGACCATGCTGTTATTATTACCTAACTAACATATATCTTCATGATTTCCCCTTTGAGCTGCCAAGTCAGTTGAATTACAGCTGCACAGATTTTCATGTTATTGATGTAAACTGTTTGGGAGGAAAGTGGTGGTGAGATAGATGAAATGGAAAATGTCATATTTCTGAATGAAAGATTTTTGAAACCTGGAGAGACTATGAGCTAGCTTTAAACACCGTGTTGAGATGAAAGATGTACTGTAATCTAAACTAATTTTTAAAAGATGTTTATTTTTGTTCTCTTTTCCTGTCCCTTCGGGTGCTTTCCGTTCTTCAGACAAGTGTCCAAGGCTCTCTTGTCCAGTGTCTTGATGAGATCTCCTTGGTTCTGTTGCTGACCAACTCATAAATCTAACCTGCAAAACATTACACTGTTATGAAACTTTCCTAAGTTATTGAGAGGCATTTGTGTTGTTTCCGAATTTGTTTTCCTCAGCCCACTTTGACAGTGTCAATGGACGCAGCGAACTTGTTATTGAAAAAGTGTCCAAAGAGAATTCTGGTACTTACGTGTGCACCGCAGAGAACAGTGCTGGTTTTGTGAAGGCAATTGGATTTGTTTATGTGAAAGGTAGGCAGAAATGCTCCGTTTAAAATTTATAACTTAATGAATGATGTGAGCTTTGATTCCTTATTATGTAGCAATACAATATAACTTCAGTTTATCAATCCATGTAGTTCAATTTCAAAGATATACAAGTGCATGAGAAAAAATTATGAGCATTCAACTCAAACGTTAGAATGAAGTAGCGATAATTTCACACAAAATGGAATCATCCCTTCAGAGTATTGAAATTAACAGTAGTGATTTAGCATGAACAATTTGATTCTGAAAAATCGATGAAGTTTTGGTTTGTTTGTTTTTGGTATTTTAGTACTGAGTATTGGAACTAGGGCCTTTTCACTGAGCTATATCTGCAACCACTTTTTTATAGGTTTTGAGTTTTGGAGTTTTTTCTTGGGGGGGATTGTTTTTGTTTTTGTTTTGTTTTTTAAGACAGGGTCTTACTAAATCACTAAGTTCTCCAGACCAGGCTTGAATTTGCTATCCTCCTGCCTCAGCCTCCCAGGAAAATTCATGAAGTTATAAAGTGAAATTTCCCCCTTTTTATTAAAGTGTGTTTCTAAATGGCTACAAAAAATCACGAACAACTGATCAGTACCTACTTTTACTTCATACCTCTCTTATTTTCCAGAACCTCCAGTCTTCAAAGGGGATTATCCTTCTAACTGGATAGAACCACTCGGTGGTAATGCAGTCTTGAATTGTGAGGTAAAGGGAGACCCTGCCCCAACCATCCAGTGGAGCAGAAAGGGGATGGATATTGAAATTAGCCACAGAATCAGACAGTTGGGCAACGGTTCCCTGGCCATCTATGGCACTGTGGTAAGTCACATGAAGTTGTTGTTGCACACCTAAATTGCCCCAGCCCGTGCTCTTGTACAAGTGCTGAGAATGAGAACAGTTTCTCTTGCATTCCCATTTAACTCATGAAATCTGAATCAAGTTCTTTTTCTGGATTTTCAACTTTAAATTTTAAATTTATTTTTAACTGATGCATAAAAACAAATGTATACATATTAATGAGGTATGAAATGTTTCTATACATGCATACATTATATAATAAACATGTTTCCCTTAAATACTTATCTCTTGATGAAAACATTCTAAGTCCTTTCTTCTATTTGAAATGTACAGTACATTATCATTAAGCTCACCCTACTGTGCAGTGACACACCCAAATTCCTTCCTCTATCTAACTCTAACACAGTACCTTCTGCTCAGTCTTCTCCCATCTTTACCCCATCCTCCTTCCCAGGCCTCTGGAAATCACCCTTCTACTCTCACCTTCTATGATCAAACCTTTTCTGTTCTAGACATCAATGAGATCATGCCATACCGGTTTCTATGTCTGTCTCATTTCAGTTAGAAGAACGATCTCCACTTCCACCCACATTGTCACAAATGACAAGATGCCACCTTTTCTGTGGCTGAATAGCATTTCATTGTGTGTATATACCACATTTGCTTTACCTATTCATCATTTGAGTTCTTTTTAAGAATGGAAATAACAGTTAAAATTGATATAGTTGGTCCTTTCAAATTAAGTATAGGAAGTAACATCATTTTGTTGCTCTGTTCCTAATCTTTGACCTATTATTTAACATTAGAAGACAACTTCCTCAAATCTCTTAGCAAAATGAAATTTAAGAATTAAAAACACAGTAAAAAAAATAAAGTATAGGGTAGATTTTAATAGTAAATGGATAACTATGAGCTTTCCCAGTGCTTCAGTAATTCAGAAAATGAGTTGTGCTTTGAGTTATTATTCTAATTTTGAAGTCAAGTGACACAAAAATGAGATAGTTCAGGTAAGATTTCTTAAATTTGAATACATCTAGTTAATTTTTAATTTACCTTTGGTATGCCCTCTCAAGTTCATTCATTATTTATTTTAAATAATAATTAAAATATATTACTTACCTAATCCAATGGGCCGTTCTTAGACTTTTATTCTTGATTTTGCTTCACTGTTAGTTGTTCTTGATTGCTCCTTCAAGTTTGAAATTATTTCCAGGTTTAGTTATTTTCACCAATATAATCTCAGGCTTCTCCATTACTACTTTTCCCCTTTTGCTCTAAAATTTTCTTTCTGAAGTTCATACTTTTTCTGATACCACCATTGCTATTAATACTAATTTTTCATCACAAAACTTCAGATTCCTAAATATGTATCTCTGGTCCTGAAATTCTTCCAAGTTCTATTTCCTGCTTCCTACTAGACACTTCTATTCAGATGATGCATTGAAACATCAAATTGAGCACATACATGGTATATAAAATAAGTAAAATTCATATAGGACTTATTTTCTATACCATACATTTATAAATTTGTGACTTATAATTTATAGTTATCATTGAAAGTAAATTAGTTTTTCATTTTGTCCTAAATTTCATATGCTCTCCCCAAAGACCCAGCTTAATGTATATTTAATAATTCTCCATGCACCGCACTCAGTACTTGATTCATTTAATTTTTTTAAGATACCCATGAAAATCATATTAATACTTTTCTTTATTAAAATAATTTTTGACGGGTTGTTTATAAACAATGTTATTTTTGCTGTGATGTCTTACCAGTTATTGGAGATCAATGACAGGCTGTTCTGGAAAAGATTGGGTTTTGAATCCTTTTGTTTTTGGCTTTTTCCTCTTCCTCCTCCTCTTTTTAAGGACTATTTATGAGGTTAGACATTTGTAGGTTTTTCTGTTTCCATTAAAATACCCTCTCAAAAATGAAATTTTTAGCATTGTGGTGAAAAAGTGATTTTCTTTGCTCTGTAGGCTTTTTTCTTTTAATAAAAATACTGCTTTTTTTCATAGAATGAAGATGCCGGTGACTATACTTGTGTAGCTACTAATGAAGCTGGAGTCGTGGAGCGCAGCATGAGCCTGACTTTGCAGAGTAAGTTGCTTAATAAAATCCTGAATGTTCAATTTAAGAAATTCTGCCTGATACCGAATGTTTGTTTTCTTTAACTTTGTGGCAAGCACCTGTAGTGACAGCTTTCACCATGTGTCCAGTTCAGTTTTCTGCTAATGATGCAGCAGTTACCATCAAGCACAGAACTGGGAAACTTTGCTGAGACACTTTCCTCTGTTTTATCTAACATGTACAGTGTAAAATTCCAATTCATTGATGTCAGATTCTTTTTCACAGCATTTTCAGTGGAGTACCCTTTTTAGGGTTCACCAGAGTCCTCAAAGTATGCTTACACATGCACTTGTATAGCACTTTAAAAATAATTATTAAAGATAATGACTAATATAAGTGAGCTCAAAAGCCCTCCAAACAGGCTCCAGTCTGTCTTCCACAGAATAATTGTGTGTCCTGGGTGAGATCTTTGTGCTCTAGACATTTCTCAGACAAAGAAGTAAAAGCAGCAAATAAACATATGAAAAAATGTTCAACATCATTGGTAATTTGAAAGATGCAGATGAAAACAATGCTGAGATTCCACCTCACCCCAGAAAGAATGGCTGCTATCAAGAAATCAACCAAGGCTGGGGATTTAGCTCAGTGGTTCCGGTGCCTGCCTTGCAAGCGCCAGGTCCCAAGTTTGATCCCTGGTACCAAAACAAAACAAAAAAAAGAAATCAACCAATAACAAATGCTGGGAGGGGTATGGGGAGAAAGGAACCCTTCTCCATTGTTGGTAGGAGTGCAGACTGGTGCGACCACTCTGAAATCAGTATGGAGATACCTCAAAGAGCTAGAGCTACGACTAGAGGTCCCATTTGACCCAGTGATTCCCCTGCTGGGTATCTTCCCCAAAGAATTAAAAGAATCATACCACAGCGATATATGTGCACCCATGTTCATAGAGGTACAGTTTTTTATAGCTAAAGTTTGGCAACAGCCCAAGTACCCATCAACTGGAGACTGGATAAAGAAGATGTGTTTTTTTATATAAAATGGAGAACTACTCAGCCATAAAGAATGAGAAACTAGAGACACTTATAGCTAAATGGATACATATTGAGGCCATACTCTTTAAGTGCAATAAATAGGACACACATGTGTAAATACTGAATAGTTTCTCTAGTGTGAGAAACTGAAAAAGTAAATAAGGATTTAAATGATTAAAACGAATAATTGATCATTTGAAATAGGAAGAAAAGGTCCAAAGGGGTAGGAAAAGGAGAAGGAAAGAAGGGAAAGGAAAAATTATAAGAAAAGGAAAAAATGGAAACAACATCTTTGTAAATGGAGAAGGGTGGAGGGGTTGAAGGGAGGATAGGGAATGGGGAAAAAATAAGAACCAAGATGCTCATGTAGAGTGATACATGATACAGTGATCATGTACAATGAGAAATGTAAATGTATTGTATACCTAAAATGCACCAATAAAAGAATTTAAGGGGGAAAAAGCCATCAGAAAAGAAAGCTTTCCTACATAAAAAAAGATGAAGTTCTCAGTGGATGGACCTGCTGGAAAATCTACAGAACCATGCCAAGGGCTGACCTGCAGATGTCACTGGGTGGAAAATTTAAGCAAGCCAAGTAATTTTGTGAATAGGCTCAGTATTTAACAAGATGAATTTACATTTTCTTCACTCACTCCTGAGAGATGCTCTCAATTACTGTTTCCTAGCAGCAGTTGGGCAAACTGCAATTCTGTAAGACTTGAACAGATCATACATATTTAATAGATAGCTAAGATAATGTCAACTAAAGTACATTTCTGTCAGATGATAAAGGTATGCTATGGTATATTATTAGGAAAAAGTAGGGATTTGTGATAGAAAAAGTCTGAGAAAAAATGGATTTTTAAAAATTCATTTATTGTAGGGTGTGGCAGCACACACCTGTAATCCCAACACTCTAGGAGGCTGAGGCAGAAGGATCTCAAGTTCCAGCCCAGCCTGGGCAATTTAGTAAGACCCTCTCTCAAAATAAAAATGGCTGGGGATATAGTTCATTGCAAAGACCTTGAGTTCAATCCTCAGTACTTTAAAAAATATTATATATATCACTACTATGTGTCAACTTAGGTATACCAAGTCTCTTTTCTACAGATCTTTGAAGAAATGTTAATAGGCTGACATGAATCATGGCTTAGCAAGAGGAGAATATACAAGTAATATGCCACATTTTTGAAATATATGTTATTATGCCCATGACCTCTCTCCCCTTTCTGTTGTCTGAATGTAGGTATGGTACATTCTCACCCAGGAGAGTCTTTCATTGACCTAGTTTAAGAAAGGCTGCCTTAGATCTATTCATCTTAGTTAATGACAGTGAATTCTTTTTACCAAATGAAGCATATAAAAAAGCCAACAAATGGCTCAAATTAAGGTTAAGCAATATTTTCATTTAGATATACTGCTCTTATTTGAGTAATAATTATGTGAATGATGGAATTAATTGAACCTTGAGAAGATATATTTGAGATTTTATTGTTATATTAATTTATAGTTTATGAACATTTGAATATTCCAAATATAGTGCCTAAATTAAGATTCTGAGTTTTATTTGATAATTCCTTTGGCCTTAATAATATGAACAGATGAGCTTATTTAGACATTATGTTGTCATTTAGTGTTGAGTGAGAAATCTGAGATAATTGCTTTATTCAACAGCAATTTATCAAATATATAATTTCAATACTATGAGAGAAATGAAAGCACTGGCCCTGAAAGTTTCTAGAGTGAGATCAATATAAACATCAGCTAAAAAAGCAGTTGTGTGGGATGATCCTGACATATACAAGAATGATGTGCTATGGAACCCTTGCTGATAAAGTCAAACTGCACATAAAGGAACTACTTTTGTAAAAGACATGTCAGTGATGCCTTTATTGAAAACACTAGCATATTAAATTAATATCACAACAAAACCTATATTCTATTTTTGTTTTATCTTCCATTTATTACAGATACTAAAATATGCAGCCACCACCCTGAATTATCTGGTACTCATTACTTCTCAGTGAACAAATCATTCCACCTTTCAGTTCAGCCTCACTCTCATCCCAGCAGCTCAAGAATGCATATCCTGCCCTAGCTCACCTATTTAAAGATAAATTTTTCTGAAAAACCCTTTTAAGAAACCCCTGGTTTAACCAGTCCTTTAAATCCTGTATGCTACTACAACCCAGGGTAAACCAGGCTTTCTAGTCTCCTCATTGTCTAAGCAAAAAAAAAAGCTGAGTCCATCTCCATACTGTGCCTTTCTTTCCAAGTGGTATTCGATCTCTTCTCCACCCACATAATCTTAATTCTGAAAATCCAGTTCAGATCTCTTCTATTTGAGAACATTTTCATATTCTATCTTTCTTGGCACCATAGAGCAAAAGAAAGATAAACAGTGTGTGAGCAGCTACATGCAACTCCTTTTATTCTCTTTCTTTCCAAAGACTTGGCTTGAGAGCCTGCTACCTGATGTAGATACTGATAACTCTTCTTCTGAGACTCCTTGCTTTGGTTGCCAGGATATCATTTCATCCTGGTTTGTCTTCTACCTCAGAGATCAGTCTTTTGTAACATTTACAGACTTATCTTCTGTCCATCCCATGACTAATGTTACAGTGATTTCTGCACTGGGCTTTTCTGAAGCAATCTCACCCACTAATGAAAGACACACAAATCCATGTTACTATATATTACCCACATATCTATTCTAAGCTTCAGCTATGAATATTTATCTGCCATCTAGACATCTCTATATGAATGTCTTTCAAATACCTGAAGTTCAGCAGTCCTAAATGGATCAAATTATCACTTACTCCTTACTGCCTCCCTAAATATCAGTTCTTCTTTCTGTGTTCCATTGAATTATCAAACATACACCATATGAATCAAAACCCTATTTATCAATTCTTCCCTTTTCAATACTACTCGATCTCAAAGTCCTATCATTCCTACTTTCTTAATAATTTTTCAGTACATCTTTCTTTTCTTTTCCACTTCCTGTGGCATGCTTTGGTTTGATCTGTCAAGTCAGCATTGTAGATGCTCCCCTATTAGCACACATGTACCTATGTTATATCTATAGTATAGCATAGGTAAATAGTTACTTGTCTCTCCTATTAGTGGCATATAAGCTCCTTGAGATAAAAAATAATACCTGTTATCTCTGTTTTCTCTATACCTGGCACAATGCCCAGAAAGTAGTAAGCTCTCAATACATGTTTATTGAACAAGCAAATGATGACCGTGTTGAGAGAATGAGTTAATGATTGCTCTTTACTTCAGAAATGAACAAAAGAGAGAAGTGAACAGTCACCATGTAAAATGCAGGCAGAAACATTAGTAACTCAAGAATACTTTGTATATCCTTGTTTAAAAGACGTCTTAGCTGCCTCTAACAGGAATCCTCTAAACTAGACACCATTTTTAAGAACACAGAGGCTCAGAGAGTAGCAAGGAGCAGAGGCAGAATATGAATCCAGAAAGCGTGACTGCAGAGCCCATGGTGTACCAGTGATGGCGAACCGTTTAGAGCTTTCACTGGTAACAAACAGCCTGCTGTGGCACGTGTGCCATAAGTTGACCACCACTGTTCTAAGTTAACCTCCTTGAGGATTTTAAATTTTTGACATTCACTAAATAAAATAAATGAAAATTTTATTATGGGCATTTCTATCTATAACCTTTGTAGTTGGGAAGTAGTATATTATCAAATGTGTTTTTTTCCAAAATGTTAATATACTACATATAATAAAGACATTTATACTTGTTTCCTCAGGTCCTCCTGTTATCACTTTTGAGCCAGTGGAAACTGTTGTTGATGCTGGTGGCAGAGTCAGATTGGACTGTCAGGCGACTGGAGAGCCTCGGCCGATGGTTACATGGTCCCGCCAAGGGCACTCTGTCCCCTGGGATGACCGAGTGAGCGTGTTGCCCAACAACTCATTATATATTGCAGCTGCTCAGAAGGAAGACACTTCTGAATATGAATGTGTGGCTCGTAACTTAATGGGTTCTGTCCTTGTCAGAGTGCCGGTCATAGTGCGGGGTGAGTGTGATTAGAGAGATAGTCATATCAAACAGCACCAGGGGCAACTCACATCATAACAGTTATTGAGTCCAAGTCTCCATTAACCATAAGATGCTTCTAGATGATGTGAATAGAACAAAAAAAAAAAGCACATCACAATTTACAGACTAAAGAGACTAAGTATAGAGTTTTAAAGTACCGAGTTAATAATTCAAAATCTCAAGCTAAATTTTTTATTCAAAACTGAGTGAAATATATTCTTAGAAATTGATGGGTATATTGAGAAGTTTATATATCCTAAAAGGTAAACAGTATGTAAATTTCGTGGTCTCCAACTCTTCTAGCAGCTATGTCCACGTGAGTCAGGGCCAGATCTGAGAGGGAACTCTAATTACTTGACATTCTCCTCTTCACCTAGACTTTAATTTTACCTTAAAGGAAAACTCCCATAAGCTATTTCTCAACAATCGTAGATTCAGTTCTGTGCCCAGTCCGTAGTGAAATGAAATTTGACATGGTCTTTTAAATACAAAAGTGAGGCAAAGCACAGTGTTTTATTTGCAGTTCATGGTGGATTTTCCCCATGGTCTGCCTGGAGGCCCTGCAGCGTCACCTGTGGGACCGGCATCCAGAAGAGGAGTCGACTATGCAATAACCCCCTTCCAGCCAATGGTGGGAAGCCATGCCAAGGCTTGGATTCAGAAATGCGAAACTGTCAAAACAAGCTGTGTCCAGGTACATTTCTGCATTTGATTGATTGCCATGTGTTTAGTTGACATCAGCTTCTGTTCCCTGCCTATGGGGGATTGCCTCAGTGTTAGTTCTTTCAATTGAAATATACCTGACAGCGTCATGGTTCACCTTTGTATAGTGGATGGTCACTGGTCAGAATGGAGTCCTTGGCAAGAATGCTCAAAGAGCTGTGGACATGGCAACCGAACCAGGACCAGAACTTGCAGTAATCCATCAGCCCAGCACGGTGGGCGGCCATGTGAAGGGAATGCTGTGGAAATAATCATGTGCAACATTAGGCCTTGCCCAGGTGAGAATCTACCAATAATATTGAAATAAGCAAAACTTTTATATTTTAATTCCTATAAAGGAGTTTTAATTATCTTTTATATTGTGGAAAGATGTTAACACCTCCACCTTTAAGAATAGATTTATTCTCTATGTTCTCAGTTCGGTTTCATGGCTAAACTTATGAAGATATGACATTAATCTATGTTAACTAAAATTCCTGATTTAATATAATATTAAAAAGGCTTCACAATTTGGTGTATTTTAATCCTACAGAGAAAACTTAAATATTTAAAAACTCATAAAATTTTAGAATTCTTACTTCAGGTAACATCTAACCCAGCCATCCATTTTCAGGTGAGAAAAATTAGCCTAGTGAAGATTACAATACTAATAGCTACCATACACTAAATACCTAGCATACAGCAGGACCACACTAGGTGCTTTCTATACATGTTGTATTTGAGGGCTCTTTCAGATTTAAGTAACAGAAATCAAACTGAAACACGCTTAAGTAGAAAATTCTCCTTTCAGGTATGACTGAATGCAAGAGTTTGCCCAATGTTTTTACTAGTATGTTTTCCATTTCTCATCTCTGCTTTTCTCTCTTCGGCTTTGTTCTCTGTTAAACTCTTTCCTTATGTGAGAAAATGACTGTTAGCAGCTGCTGCCACATGGGGGCCCTATAATCCAAGGCCTCAAAGAAAAAGAGTTCTGTCCCACAGAGTTCATATCCTCTAAAGAAAGATCATATTTGGTTTTGTTTGGTTTTGTCCTATGCTCATGTCTGAACTTAGCTGAATACAAAAGGGTACTGTGATTGGCAGCCTGGGCAACATACACACCTGCCTAGTGTCAAGATGGGCAGAGCTCCTTGTCTGGCAACGCAAAAGAAATATAGAACAGAGGCAGTGCTGTTCATTCATTCATTCATTCATTCATCTAGCCTGGAAAATAGAATGTGGGAAAATCATCAGAACTACAGAATTTTTGAAATGAAAACTATAAGCATCCACAATCTGAGTTAATACAGAAGTCGTTTTGAGTGATATCTGCCACATATTTCCTCTTGCCTTTAAGATTTAGTCAAATACATTTTTAGTGCAAATTCATTTTGGCTAAAACACATTTGGGTGTCTGCCTCTGGCTACAGAGCATGATTAAGTACTCAACTCAATCAAAAACCAGTTAATTATGAGAAGATATAAGATATGTTCTTAAATATTGTCCAGACGATTCAGACAAATGATTTTCTCATTACTTGATTTTCAACTCGTTATTTTGGTATCTGGTATGTTACAGCAAGAAAATATTTAGTTGCAGACGTTATTGCCCCTATTTTGATTCATATCTTGGTTAAAGAGGTGGAAAAGAAACACGTTTTATAAGACCTAAGTCTAGAAAGTTCTTCTAACGCGAAAGTATGACCTGGTACTGATTTGTGTGTATGAAAACACATGCTGTCTGTTCTTAGACCACACACATGGTAGGAAACATACAGTTGTTCCAGTCTTATGGCTACATGCTGTAATATGTTAGTTACCAAAAGGAAGGCCTTACTATCACTCTTTGGAAACAATTGGTCAGTTTAGGAAGCAGGTAAGTGTGTTATTCCAGATGTTTAATTCATGAACATTATGTAATGGAGAAAATTCTTCAAAGAGCTACAACTGCAAATCATCTTGTTGAAATCCAAGAAGATGTGTGAGGATGAAGCTGAATCAGGATTAACGATCTAGACTTCCACTCTTGAGTACAAGTTATAATTGCTGAAATATTTGTGTTGCTCACAACTACATTTAGGTATGTTATACAGACTTGCTCCTAAGCTCCTTGGTTCCTTCCACTTTCCCCTGAGCATGGATTGTAAGCAAATACTTAGCTAAGGTTTAAACACTCAGTTCTGTTTACATATGGTAGTTTGATTAAATTTAATTTTAATAAAATAGTCCCCTTTGGATAATTTTAAGCATTTATTTCGGCATGAAATAGGCCTTCTGAATTTCTCTAGACACAAATTCCTTTGAAAATCTGACCAGAAGGAGAAAGAAGAACATGATTCCGGAGTGACTCTATTTGTATAATTTTGTTTGTATTTTAAACAAACATGGTCTGTGACTTGAAACACTGTCTCCTGGGATGTTTGTAGTTCATGGAGCATGGAGTCCTTGGCATCCTTGGGGTAGATGCAGCAAAAGTTGTGGGGAAGGTACCCAGATGAGAACAAGGCTTTGCAATAACCCACCACCATCATTTGATGGATCCTACTGCAGCGGGGCAGAAACACAAATGCAAATGTGCAATGAGAGACCCTGTCCAGGTAAGAGCAGTGCACTGTTTATATGTCTTATCTAAACAGCATGTCAGTAAGAATCTATTTCATCCTGACTGTCACAAGAGCATCACTTGGCCTAGTAGTGCCCAGGGTTGAACTTGATTTTTTTTTACTTCATCATTGTTAGATAGTAACCAACCACATATATCTTTCTCCTAATCCAGTTGATGGCAGGTGGGGACCTTGGACCAGCTGGAGTGCCTGTACCATGTCTTGTGGAGGAGGTACCAGACAGAGAACAAGGGACTGCTCTGACCCTGCCCCTCAGTATGGGGGAAGAGAATGTGAAGGAAGTGATATCCAGAGTGATTTTTGCAATAATGACCCTTGTCCAAGTGAGTGTTGGAAACAGTGAGTCAACATTATACTTTCTTAAAGTTTCATTGTGACCTTAGGTCCTTAGTTATAATATTGTGTTAATTGGTTCTTCAGCCTTTGGTTTAGGCTGCTGAAATGTATGGTTACTGTGTTCTCAGTGTTACACATACCCTCAGCTCATCAAGAACAGAGACCCTGTCTCACTCACACCCTCCAGCTCCTGGATATTTTAAGAGTGACCAACAATAAATGTAGTAGTAGTTTAAAGGGAATCCCATACTCACTGGCATGTACACCCAATTTCTAGTCAAAGCGCCAGTGAAACCATTTGCCTTTGGAAGTTGTCTGTAGACTTGTATGATTCTTTTATATTTCCTGGGGAGAGGCTTTTCCATCCTTTTTGGATGAATGTCATTGTTTAGCACTGTTTTTATGTCACGTTATTCATGTTGTAGCCCATGGTAACTGGAGTCCTTGGACTGACTGGGGAACATGCAGCCGGACATGCAATGGAGGGCAGATGCGGCGGTACCGTACGTGTGATAACCCTCATCCTTCCAATGGAGGAAGAGCTTGTGCAGGGCCAGACACCCAGGTGCAGAGGTGCAACACTGACATGTGTCCTGGTGAGCTTCTCCATTCCTGGCCACAGAATGAGCACAGCATTTCACTTAGTGCTTCTTGTGGTAGCCTCATCATTTCAGACTGTAAAATCAAGGCTGTATAGGCAGGGGCACCTTAGATTCAGATTTTAAAGCCAATTGGTTAACATTGACCATTCAATTCTTGTTCACAGTGGATGGAGGGTGGGGAAACTGGCAGAGTTGGAGCCATTGTTCTGTCTCTTGTGGAGGAGGTGAAAAGACTCGGAAACGGCTATGTGACAACCCAGTGCCATCTAAAGGTGGCCGTTCCTGTCGAGGAGATGCTACTCAGGTATCCAGGTGCAATACCCAAGCATGTCCAGGTAAGCAACTGCATTAGACTGTCAAGATCCTTGTTAGCACACATTTAGAGTCAGTGTGCAAATCACTCTGGGCCCACAATTTACAAAATACTACCAACTCTGGAAGGAAGAAATAGAAAAAAAGTGTGCTTTTTTGCTCTTAGTGCAGCTCTATGCTAATATGCATAGGGTTTCAGTCTGTACCTGCTCCTTCTGGGTCTTCTTAGGAAAGGCTGCAGTCTGTAGAGCCATACATTGTAGTTCTGGGCTTGACAGGTAAAATGATGAGGCGGAGTAAGGAAAAGCAGGCTAAGACTCCAGCCTGCATGTGAAGGTAGGGCAGCAACTACATCTCTAACAGCAATCATATACAAGCAGAGGTTTTTCGTTCATTCACAGATCAGAATATGGACAACATGAGTATGGACAGTAAAATATTATTATTCTCCTACTCTGAAAACCATGGCTATTTAAACTCCCTTGTAGGATTGCTGATAGGATTTTTAAAAGTTAACACATAGTAAGTGTTTGTTATTCTGTGTGACCGGCTCAGTAAACTCTCATTTTCATCATCATTTCAGCAAACACATACTTTATTTTGGTCATAGGATTAAATGCTGATTTGTATTCTTTGGCTTGTGAAATGACACTACAATGTGCATAGATTGGAAAGAGACTGGATTTATGGGGGATGATGGGTGTTATACGAAAGTAGAATATTTTAAAAGCTTATTCATTTCACTTTTAAATTCAGATGTCATAGGACCTTTTGATGTTTGAGAGAAGATTTGTAACATCTCTGAATATTGGCTTTCTTTTCTCCCATGTAATGTTGTTGGAATTGCTTCCTTATCCAGGAATGTTTTTTCTTCCCCCAATAGGTGGGCCCCAACGAGCCAGAGGAAGTGTTATTGGAAATATTAATGATGTTGAATTTGGAATTGCTTTCCTTAACGCCACAGTAACAGATAGCCCAGACTCTGATACTAAAATAATACGTGCTAAAATTACCAATGTGCCTCGAAGTCTTGGTAAGACTCTTCTTAGTTTCACTTGAAATTTCTAGAGGATTCTACTAAATAAATCATCAATATAATAGGTAGTCTTTAGCTTTATGCAATGTGAAACTCCTAAAGGTATAGGGGAGACAAGTATTTATTTTGTCTTATTAAAGATTAGTATACAGCTTTGTGTATAACCTACTATAAAAACCATGAAAACTGCCCATGAACATTTTGCTTTGTTATCTTATCTTTTTTTTTTTTTTTTAGGTCCAGCCATGAGAAAGATAGTTTCTATTCTAAATCCCATTTACTGGACAACAGCGAAGGAAATAGGAGAAGCAGTCAATGGATTTACCCTCACCAATGCGATCTTTAAAAGAGAAACTCAAGTAGAATTCGCAACTGGTTAGCATCAGCAAAACTTAATACTCCATGAGTATTAATGGATGGCTAAAAGCTGGTGATTAAGAAAAATATAAGTACCCAAAGAGAATCATTACAAAGTTGTTGATCCAATCTTATCATAAATAATACAGAAGCAATTTTTGTATTTTCCTATGCTAACATGAAATCTATGAGCCTATGTGTTCTCAAGAATTATAGAAATTTTTAAAGTGCAATTTTTTTCTCCTCCTTTCTGTATCTTTTCTCTTTAAATCCTTAGAGAGGATTTTAAAAGTCAAAGAGGGAAAACGAGTCATTACTATTAGTTAAGGACTTTGGTCTTCAACTAAAGATTCAACTGGAATAAACTATAGTGATTCTTTATCATAAAGATGGAAATAAAACCAAAGAAATCCAAAGGCTTTTCACTTTATCTCTAATCTTAGTGTACATAGCTCTTCATGGACCTTTTCATGGTCATGCAGGTTTTTGCAGAGCTCCACTTCTTCAAAGTTAGTCAGCCTCCATGGCAAAGACTTTAAGGAAGAAGAGCTGATGGAAGGTGTGTCTTTAATCAGCACTTAATCAGCCCAGATGACAAGTTGGGCCTCTTCATCCCCACCACTTACTAAAGTGCACTTTTGCTACTTTTGGAAGCGATTTAGAAAGAACGTGCCCCGTGGCTGGACTTTGATCTTTGCCAGTCTGCCTGGCAAAGCCTCCAGTCTCTTCTCACAGCCAATACATTTTGGTTGCACTGCCTTGCTATCGCCTGTGGGTCAAAGTGCGGGATCCTCTACACAACAGTGTGCTACATTCTTACCACATAAAAAGAATTCTTAGTAGAAACGTAATTAAATGGGCCTAGCTCTTTAATTGGAAGGCTAAGTGAAATTTAATTCTCTTATCCATGTTTATTCAAGTTTGAACTAAAATGGCATAGCTGAACTTTAAATTTGTTCTGTGCTTATGCAAACCATATATATATTGTTTGTTTGTTTGTTGTTGTTTGCTGTGAAAATGAATGCACTGTAATTCCCAGGAGAAATCTTGCGCATGACTCATGTTGCCCGGGGCTTGGATTCTGATGGTGTTTTGCTGCTAGATATTGTTGTGAGTGGCTATGTCCTACAGCTTCTGTCACCTGCTGAAGTCAACGTAAAGGTAAAATGCTAAGATAACTGGCTTCACTGTTGATTCAAATAATGACTGTGAGTCAGAGATCCATAGAAAGAACACAGAGAACTTGTGTACTTTACCTCGTTCACTTTGGAGAATAAATATGTAAATCACCAAGATTATAAATGATTATCTGGTCTTCATTTAAAAATCTTCAGGGCAAGTCTTTATAAGCTCCGAGGGCTTTTAGAACCCTGTTTAGGCACCAAGATTACTGCTATTTTGATTTAAGCTACATATTTGCTTGATTTTCTACAGATAAAGAGAATAGTAATTCTTACATAAAAGTTTTCAGGTACCATCCATAAAAGAATTTCAGATCTCAAAGAATGATAATAATCATCCATATATGTATTGCTTTACTCTTGCCCTACAAATTCCTCTATTGAACTTTAATTTATGATGGTGAATTATAGAATTAACATAATTGCAGTTGAAAGGTCCAAACTTTGAGTTACTTCCTGGATTCTACTATACAATTGCAATTTTATTTAGAATTCTGTCTTTTAGCCCCTAAGCCAGTTTGTTCTCATTTTGCATCTCACAATACTTTTAAGAAAAAAAATAGTATGAGCTATGTTGATCTTCAATTTGCAATTATTCTCCTTAGGATTACACAGAGGACTACATTCAAACAGGTCCTGGGCAGCTCTATGCCTACTCCACTAGGCTCTTCACCATTGATGGCATCAGTGTCCCATACACATGGAACCATACCATTTTCTATGATGAGGCACAGGGAAGAATGCCTTTCTTGGTAGAAACACTCCATGCATCCTCTGTGGAATCCGACTATAACCAGTTAGAAGAAACTTTGGGTTTTAAAATCCACGCTTCAATTTCCAAAGGTAATTTTACTAAAAACAAACAAAAAACTCTGTATCTTTATACCATCTAATTGTTTCTAAAAGAGTAAAATGAATTGCATTGATGCCATTTCATATAAAAGAAGTATATTAACACTGAGATCTAAAATTACAGTAACAGATTCTTTACTCGTGTTGTCTATGTTTTATTGTAGGTATATCCCTGTGTTAATGCCAAGCCAATTGGAGTTCTAGTACACTTAGTTTACCAATATGCTTCTTTGTTCTGCATAGTAAAGTTATTGTTCTGTTCTATATACTTGGAAAAGGTTAAACATATTATATAATCTGTCAGAATGATTTTTTTCTTTGGTTATAAAGTTTATGTGTTTCCATTCTGAATCTTATATTTGTCAAGGAACTTGTAATATTCCTGAAACATAATCTAAAGGTGTGTCTAAAACTAAACTAGTAAAGAAAAAGTCTCTATATTTTCAAAGGAGCTTTTAAAAACTGTACAATAATCAGAATTACAACTGTCATTTTTCATTCCTGAAAACTATAATTTTGAAGTACTTTCCATTTCCCAAATACAAATCCACAACCTTGATTTAAGTTGTCCTCCCACACTGTGTGATTCTTTGTTGAATCTATTCTCTGAGATTTCCTTTTCAGTCATAAGAGCCACCTCAACCACTTGTGTTCCATAGTCTGTGGGGGTTTGATGGTGGGAGATACTTGTGTGTAATTATGTTGCACACACTAAATGTTTGCATCACTTCAGCCTTGAACTTTAGGTTACCATGAGTATACTTAAAAGAATGTACATTATCCTTGTGTGTGTGTTGGCTTTCCAACAATGAATCAAAGAGATCTTAAACAGAATCATTTTGTTTTATTATACTTAGCAAAATACCTTAAAATTCATTGCACTGTCTACCTTTCTTTCATCCATTGTGCATATGACCATTGTCTTCTGCAACACATATCGAAACTCCTTCATCCGATTTGAGTTCATAGTACTCTGGGAGGACGATAATCCTAGATTTGTGAAGATCTGTAGCACCATTACTTTCTCAGCTCAGAGCATTACCACCGCCTCCTTGCTTTATTCTTATAATGCATGTTCTGGCCACTTGGACAGAGTTATTGAAAAGAGCTTTTTGACGTGAAGAACTATTTTCTCTTTCTCAATTATGCTTACATTTCTAATCTAACCTCTTTCTACTTTTTCAGTACTCCATCTTAATATATAAAGATAACTTGGAAGTCAATTTTTTATCATAAATTAATTTATACTATTGGGACTACAGGAATTAAAATCATTTTTGAAGAGTCATAGGACTTTCTACCCCCTCAATCATGTAGATTATCTAAACCTGAAACTGCATGAAGGTTCTTGTGGCATCTGTAAGGGTATTGTTGGGTGAAATGGGTCCCATAATATAAGGAAATTGAGACCATAAGGCCCTTTGCTGTCTTTGGATAATATAATTCTATGAATTACATCTATGAGCCATTTGTTGAAAACAGTGGTGCTGTAAATTTCAAGAACTGTGTGCCTGCAGTATGTTTTAGAGTGACCAGCAAGGGGCAAGCTTGCCTTCTTGGTAGTTTAACCAGCAAATTCTCCTAGGAGTCTATCCTAAGAAAATTAGAGAACCAAAGATGACTATTCACAAAGTTTCATCCAGTGTTATTTCATAATAGAAAAATAATTAATAAACTTCCTGGTGATAGAATATAAATATGTATATCATGTAACCACTGTGTAATAATCTTTTAAATAAGCATTGAAATAATTTTTTAAACCTGTGCAACTCATTCATTTAATATTTGTCCAGTGCCAACATGTATTAGACACTAGCACACTTTCAGAAATGAAAAGTAGGGTGTTCATGCATCACCACAGCTGAAAAGCAGCATACAGTGTGACCCTGACATGAGTTCCCACTCCTCTTCCCTGACAGTTCTGATAGAGATGGGATCAAAGGATTGGTTGGCTTGTTTGTGGACTGGAGATTGAGCCCAAGGCCTCTGCACTGAGTTACAATTCCAGCCCTTTAATTAACTTTTGTTTTAATTTTATAAGACAGCATCTAAGTTGCTAAACTTTCCAGACTAGACTTGAATTTGTGACCCTCCTGCCTCATGCTCCCAAAGTGCTGGGATTACAGGCCTGCACCACCAAGCCCAGCTAAAGGATGTGTGTTTTTAATGAATTCTCCTAATGATTTTTATGATTAATAAAGCTTGACAATTATTCGTCTGTATATTCTTAATTTTTCTTTATCTATTTAATTCAATATTTGTAGTGCTGGGGAGTGAATCCAGGACCTTATGCATGCTAGGCAAGCAGTCCATCAACCATATCCAAAGCCTCTAAATTAATTTTTAAAGTACATATATATTCATGGAAATGACTGGAAGGAAAAAAACCAAAATGTCAACAAACAAGTGTAGTTTTTTCTGAGTGACCAGATTATAGGGAATTTTATTTTATACTTTTTTAAAGTTTATACTACTGTCACACATTCTTATAACATAAACACATATTTTGTATTACCTCCCACTACCCTGAAATACAAATCATAATATAATCCAAAATAACTAATTTAATATAAACGATAAAATAGAGGAAACTAATAATGTACTATTGTTGTCTAAAATCTTTGGGCAGAGATTAATCATAAACCTGAACTTGTATATAGAATCCCACTGTGATTGAGGTTTTTTTGGCAGAGAGAAGGGCTTTAAGCAACTCTTAATAACATTTTAAATATCAATGTATATCACAGTTGCATTCCTGGAAAATTCATTATATATTTATGTGGAAAATGTTTAACATATGGGACACAGTTTTAAAACTCATATAATTACAGCTTTTTATTTGCAGGAAAGTCTTTCAGCACAAAGAACACATCTTTCAGTGCTGTCCCACACATGGCAGTATTGTAACTCCTGCCCCAGGGCCTTCTCCAGTCATTGAATTTTAATATTCCTCTTCATCATCATGACAATGAAAATGTCTCTCAAAAAACTTCCTAAATGCCACTTAATGGAATATACGTCTCCTAATTAAAACCAAAACTGAAGCTACTTATTGTGTTTACATGACATGAATTTTTCCACAGTTATACCCCCAACACCATGACCCACATAACATACTGGTTAAATAAAGGAAAGTGTGAATAAATGAAAAATGTATGACCACCACCTGATTCGGTGGTTGAAAGTCTAATAGACTTTCATCTAAATCTTGCTCTTGTACATATTAGCTCCTTAATCTTATGGAAAATACATAACTTGCCTCAAATTGCTCACCTGAAATTTGGGTACTATGTGGAAGTTGTGAGGTTAAAATAAGAAACTAACCAAGCAATAGCCTTCATTAATCATTTGCATGTGCCTTAGACATTTTCAGTCCATCCGTTCTATTACTACTCTCCTGTACATGTAGGAAAATTTGCACACTCTCAGAGAAGTGGTTCCTTACTAACAGGCTGGCATGCTTTTCACTGGCATCTAAGTTAAATCTCTTCTGTCACAATATGCCTGTTTCTCCTTGCTTTAAGGGAATACATAGAAAGGGAAACCCATCACACATGGAGTACTGTAACCCAAATGCTCAACATTTCAAATGGAGAAAAGCCACAAAAGGAGGATTCTTCATTGAGTTTCTGTTTTTCACTGGCATAAATTATTTTAAGTTGCTTGAAAATATCATTCTTCCTTCTAGAATAAAACAACCCAGTAATGGCTGGAAGAATGGGATATTGCCTATGGCTATGCCTGCCATACACAGTTATCTTGGATTCTTTTTAGTTATCACAGAATAATTTAAATTTCTTTTGACTTATGTAAACAACTTAAACAGAAAATCTGTTTCCAATGGCAGCTTGCCAACAATCTCTGGACTATGATTTGTTTACTTCTTGGTTGAAGAACAAGAAAAGTTTTCCATTCTTGCTATTTTCCACTGATTGCATATCTGCATCATGTGTTTTGCCTTTAGCACATCTTTCCAGGGAAGGGTAGATTAAAATGAAACCAGATATTAATATTCTAGTAAGTTAGTTACCTGCTTTCTTCTCTGTGGTAGGAGATCGCAGTAACCAGTGCCCCTCCGGGTTCACCTTAGACTCTGTTGGACCATTTTGTGCTGGTAAGTAAAGAAATAAACATTTTTATAAAATTGTCAATAATGGATATAATTTAATGGACATTTTTGCCATTTTGCTAAGTATTTAATCATCACAACAGTCCTATTAGTTATTGACAGCTGAAGAAATTGAGATGTAGAGAAGTTAAATAAACTGTTTAGGATCACTTAGTATTAGGTGGCAAAACTAGATTTGAAGTGGAGTTAGATTACAAAGCCTAAATTCTCTCAGTTTGGCCATAGTTGAGTATATCCGGGATAGTGACCAAGTGCGGAGGTGGAGTGACCAGAGGGACAACACCAAACCCCATCTTGCAGCTTGATTGCCATGAGCATGAGAGGAGAGCGGTCCAACACGAAGTCACCTAACAACAGAACTGCTCAATCATAGCATAGGACAGGGCTGTTGGGCCTGTGACTAAGGGCTAAACCAACTTTGTACCACCATGTACCAGTTCAGAAGAATCACAAATAAATGAACAGCTAAGTAAATGGTTTGGGGAGCTCAAATTTTACACTGTGCTTCTCATTCACTGATACACAATGTAATGTAGTCTAAGGACTTACAAAAAAAAAGGTAATTTTTAGACTGCCCAGTTCAAATGCCAGTTTTATCAATAGTAACCTCTGTGATATTCAACAATTTATTTATCCCATTTGTTCTTCAGTTTTGCATGCAAAATGAAGATAGTAACAAAAATACCTGTCTCCTAGGAATACTCTGGAGAATGAGTAAAAACAGATAAAAAGTATTTAAATTATTTTAGCTGTCATTCTTGTAGAATAAAATCTAAGTATCTATTCACAATCAGAGATAACTTGAAGACCTCAAGTCAATTTTTTACCTAGTGATTCCATTTTGTGGCACTTAGTGCACTCTCTTCTTTGATTCAACTCATTGTCTTCCATATGGGAGTATTTCAGCAATTTTAATAACTCTGAGAAAGTAGAGATTGACATGGTGATTGGGCTGCCTTGTTTCCTTTTTCAGATGAAGATGAGTGTAGAGCAGGCAATCCCTGCTCCCATACCTGCCATAATGCCATGGGAGCCTATTACTGCTCCTGCCCTGAAGGCCTCACCATTGCTGCCGATGGAAGAACTTGTCAAGGTATCCACAAAGTTAAGTCCAGTAGACTCATTCAAGCATGGGTAAAGCAATATTTGACCTAGAGAAAGCATGGTCCACCAAGCCTCTTCTTTCCTATTATCTCTGCCCACACCCTCACAATAGGCAGGAAGGTCTTCATTGTTGAGAAAGTAAGAAAGAGGAAATACTGCTCAGGCATTGCCTTCCTGTGGGCACTCTGAGCAGGCAGGCCTGGAGTCACTCACTCAAGATCCTAGAAAGGAGAAGTCACTTAATTTATAAAAAGTCTAACTGATTGATCAGTTTATGAAGATACCACACCATGTGGCGGTGAGCCTGTCAGCTGTTTAACTCACCTGAAATGACGTTAGCAAAAAATGTGGTCCTTTATATATTCTTGCTCACTAATTGAACAACTCATTCTGTTGCAGATATTGATGAGTGTGCTTTGGGAGGACACACCTGCCACACAGGTCAGGACTGTGACAACACAATCGGGTCCTATCGCTGCGTGGTTCATTGTGGAATTGGCTTTCGAAGAACGTCTGATGGGCTGAGTTGTCAAGGTATAAACATGTTATCTTTTAATCCTTACAATACCAAGAATTAGACTCCTGTTTGTGCCTTTTAAACTCTGTCAGGAACTCCAAGGGCAAGGTGCCAGATAAAAGGGAGTCCCTCGGGAAAACTTAAACCAGAACCCTCCTTTACATGTTTGCAAGTTGAGCCTCTTGATAAGCTTAAGATGTAATATTCCACAGCTATTTTAAATATTTGTAGAAATGTGATTTTCAGTGGCATTTGCCTGTTAACATTTGGAAAAAATCGTACAGAACAATGTAGTTGAATCTGTTTCATAAAACTCCATTGCAATATTTAAAGTTTTGTTAAAATGGATTTTATGTTTTAGAGCAATATTAAGTTCAAAGCAAAATTTGTACCAACCCCACTATTCCACAGCACACCATTTGCCCAACTATAAACATCCTATCCCATAGTGATACATTTGTTAAAATGAATGAACCTGCATCGACACATCATTACTACTCAGAGTCTACACGACAGTGTCCATCTTAGTCCATACATTAAGGTTCACTTTGGGTTTGTACAGATGTATAATGACATGTATCTACCACTGTAGTAGAAGACAAAGTAGTCCCACTGCCCTAAAAATCTATGCTTCAGGATTCACCCCTTCTTATTAGCAACCCCTGTTAACTACTGATCTTTATACTGTCTGCGTAGTTTTGCCTTTTCCAATATGCCATATAGCTGAAGTCCTATGATAATGGCTTTTTCTAACTTTTTTCACTTAGTAATGTGCACTTAAGTTTCTTTCATGTTTTTTTCATGGCTTTATAGCATATTTCTTTTTAGCACTGAGTAATATTCCATTGTATGAAGTATTACAGTTTATTTATTCATTCACCATACTGGTGAATGTCTTGGCTGCCTCCAAGTTTGGGCAATTCTGAATGAAGTTACCATCAGGATTTTTCATAGAAGCAAAAAGCTAGATCCAAAACTGAACAGTAAAAAGAATAAATTAAGTGTGGTCCATTTATACCATGAACCATTGGGCAGGCATGAGAAAACCCAAATGTAGGAAAGTATACGCAACTTTTATAGAGTATGAGTATGTAACTAGAAGACAAACAATGACCAAAGAAAAATAAAAACATTTATAAATTTAGATCGAGACATATGTGAGTTGTGGAAGAGATATGTTATTATTCGTACTAGATTGTGAATGTTGTTTTCCTGTGGTAGACAAAAAGAGTAAAAAGGGATAAAGCAGGCCAGGCAAAAGAGGAAAAGGAAAGAAAGAAATCTACACTAAGAAGTAGTCCTTAGAAGTGTTGATTTACATTAATGCACATATATCACTTAGCACATTGTGCCTCTCAGGAGATTAAAAGATATCAAATAGAAAACAAGTACAAAATAAAAGACTGACAATCTCAGATTTTGTCATGAAAAGTGAAAATAAGAAGAGCTTAAGTTTGGTGACTATTCTGTCAAAAGGTTTGGAGTAGAACAATAGGGAAGGGCCAGGAACTCGAGAGAAATGTGACCTGAGGGAGGAAATTGTGGCATAGTAGAAGAAATTTGATTATGTCGGTAGGTTTATGGGAAAGATGACAGTAAAGAGGAAGGTCTTAAAGGATACGCCAGGGGAGGGAATGATTGGTGGGCCACAGTCCTCATCTTGGGGAGGAAGAGGAGTTGCAGAGGTCAGAAGTTTAAACAGAAGGGCTTTTCTTAAAAGGGAAAAGAGATCTCTTCCTCTGGCACTGGAGAGGGAGAGGGGAGAGAAGGTACAAAACATAAGCAAGTGTACAAGAATGGAGATTTCATACCTGCATTCTTTTATTGTATAATAGCAACGTGGTGTTTGGGAAGGATTTGGCAATGCTGGCAGAGAAGGAGAAATGCTGAAGTTGCTGCAATCAGTCAGACATAAGGTGCTAAAGGCCTGCATCAGGCAAATAGCAGCAAGAAAGGGGAAGGAAGGTCAGCTGCAAAAGACATTGCAAAAGACCTTAGCACCGTTTTCATTTTCCCTCTAACTTCATTTTAGTCTGTCAGCAGCATTCCAGAACCGAAGTGTCCTCGAAACAGGAGTGGGAGCCATGTGATGGAATACTTAGAGCAGAGGAGTAAATACTACATCAGCATAGTTCTGAATTATTCACTAATGAAGAGAGACAACCTCACCAGAGGTTAATTGTATCAATTATTTAGCAGATGATAAGAAAGCAAATGTATTGGGTTAGTTTTAGACAAGATCTTACGCATGGTCATTATCAAGATCTTTAAAATGTTAAATATTTGGGTTGAATTAAATAAGGCTTCCTAACAGCATATAATGAAAGTTTTGTTTTATTTAACAGATATTAATGAATGTCAAGAGTCTAGCCCCTGTCACCAGCGCTGTTTCAATATCATAGGAAGTTTCCACTGTGGATGTGAACCTGGGTATCAGCTTAAAGGCAGGAAATGCATAGGTAAGAAAAAGGCTTTGAATTCAAAGCAATGACATCTCCATAACTTCCTTTTCAACATGTATTTTTATTGATGGTGTGGTTTATTAAATCAATAGATGAATGAAGCCTTTCTAACTCAATTAAAATGTAAGCAATGTATGCTGGGGCTTTAGCTCAGTGGTTCTGCCACCTGCCTCGCAAACAAAAGATCCTGAGTTCAATCCCTGGTACCAAAAAAAAAAAAAGTAAGCAATGTAAATTTCTCAAAATAAACTTTATACATGATAGTGAAATGAATATATAAAGGATTGTCCATTTCTTCTTAATGTTATCTGATCTAAATGCTTATGTTGTGTCTCAAGACTGATTCATATATAGGTCAGTGACCATGCATTATGGATATAACCCAGGTAAAAATTTAAAATGGAGTTAAATACTATATTTTATGGATTCGTTTTCTAATTACAGAACCATTCTTTTAACAGGCCCACTATTTACTGAGTATTTCAAGGAAGTATAATATACATCCATACATGTATATGCATACATATTAATATTAACATTACAGATATAAATTTTATTTTTCTAGGAAGTGGAAGTGGTTGGTATGGCTATCATCTCTGTAAAGCAATACTTTGTTTTTTATTTTTATCTTTCTGTTTTAAAGTATGTTACATGCCTAGTTGGATTTAAGCAATGAGCATCCATATTTGTTTGTAATATCCTTAAAATTCAAAGGAATGGTTTCTCTTAAAAAGTAGATGAAATCATTTTCTCAATCTCCATTGCCTTTGTTCTTTTACCCAGATGTGAACGAGTGTAGAAAGAACGTATGCAGGCCCGATCAGCACTGTAAGAACACCCGTGGTGGCTATAAGTGCATTGATCTTTGTCCAAATGGAATGACTAAGGCAGAAAATGGGACCTGCATTGGTGAGTGTCTGGCTATTTCAGTGGCCAAAATATACTTACTATCAATCAATCAAGTAAGGCATCCACTTCAAAAAGTAGCGAGAAAGTAAATTTAAGCTAACAAGGAATTTTTCTTTCTCCATTAGTACTCCAAATTTCTAGTGTGGTTGGCCCAAGCTCACCATGGAAACTTATGACCATTTTGAGCTTCCATCAACTACACATTTGGTTTACATAATTTAATATTTACATGGAGTATATTATCTCACATTATTTCTAATATAAAATTTACCATATACATTTACAGCTTTATAGCATGGTTAAAAATGTTTGTGGAGATTTATTAAAAGTTCAAAATATAATTATTTTAAAACCAAATATTGTTTAAATATCAAATCACTGGCCAAATAATAAATTATTTTTTGCCTGAAGTTTATTCTTTGTGTGTCTACTCTTTAGTAGCCTATTGAGTTCAAAGATAGCAAATCAATGACTAGAAAATAAAGTAAATTATATTTCTTCTAAAGTTTGCTCTTCATATGCCTACTCTATACTCTACAACTGCAGGATTTACAAAAAGAAACCAGAAAACTCCCTGTTCTTGCATGCTTCCTGTCTACTAAGATTAATTGCCCTCCTCAACTTGGAGAAAAGAACAACAATACAAGCCACAACAAAATACTTTAAAAGAGACACAAATAAAATTGTATGAGTACCCATATTGTATCTAATAGCATTAATCAGTGGAGATGGTAGAAAAAAGAAAGCATAAAGTCCCATTGGGCTAAACTGTGGAAACTTTCCTTCTTACCAACTGTCTACCTCAGACAAGTTTTAAAATCACAAAGAATTTTCAATTTAAGGGTTGGGAACATAGCTTCTTTGGTAGGATGCTTGCCTTTGCCTAGCATGTGCAAGATCCTGGGCTTAATCCTCAGTGCCACAGAAACAAAAGAAGTTTAAGCTTCTCATTGTAAAGATAGCAGTTTTTCAAAAGAAATTATTCTGAAATATTCATTAATAAAGCTATATATGTCTTGGATTCAGTTCAAAACAATATCATATGAGTGGCAAGTATAGATATAGATGAAGGGATATTGACCACTTGTTGATAATTATTGAGGTACATGGGGGTTTAGTAGAGTGGAGTAGTGTTGAACTATTAAATTTCAAAGCTTTTCAGCTCTCACGCTATGGATATAGGTAAATATTTTCCTTAATTCAAGAGTAGGAAGCCAGGCATGATGGCTCATGCCTATAATTCCAGCATTCTGGGAGGCTGAAGTAGAAGGATCATAAGTTGTAGACCAGCCCGGGGAATTTAGCAATTTAGCAAAACCCTGTCTCAAAATGAAAAATAAAAAGGACTGTGGATGTAGCTCAGTGTGAAGGCTGTGGGTTTAATCCCCACTACCACAAAAACAGAGAGGGAGACAGACAGACAGACAGACAGAGAAACAGAGAGCCAAAGACAACTCAGAGGGTCATGTACAATTACATGCAGCTGTTATTATTAGAAATGAGATAAACCGAAAGATCGGAAGTCCATTTAAGAAGGTACAGCAAAAATGCAGCTCAGTGGGAATGGAAATGTGAAGATTTATGGTTTTGATTGAAGGAAACAGAATTACTCAATCTTGGCAAGTAAAGGAATGTTAAAGACTTGGGTTTCAGCAGCCCTGTTGACTAGGAAAACAAGTACTGTTGACATAATAAGGGAGTAAAGATAAGACATGAGGCATGTTGGATTTGAAGTAGTGTTGAAATACGGAATGGAAATGTCCAGCCAGAAGTTAGATATGTAAAACTAGATCAGAAATGATGAGGTTCTATTGCCTTGAATCTGCATAAACACTACTTAGTTGTCAGTATAAATAAAATGGCCAAAAAAGCGCTGGGATTTGAATCGAAGTGTTCTAAAGTCCTAAGTCACCACGTGGTGAGAAACATAACCCTTGGCAATTCTACCTGCTGTTAATTTTAAATACAATGGCTTTGGGCTTCAAAAGAGGAAGTGTTATTACTTTTTATTACCTCCATGTCTGTAGACATTGATGAATGTAAAGATGGGACCCATCAGTGCAGATATAACCAAATATGTGAGAATACAAGAGGCAGCTACCACTGTGTTTGCCCAAGAGGTTATCGGTCCCAAGGACTTGGAAGACCCTGTATGGGTAAGTTAACAGGAGTTCTTACTAAGTAGTAAAGTTTCTAATATAGTTATCTAGCCTTACCAAGTTGTTTAGGTCCACTGTCTTTATCCTCACATGCTCTTTTGCTACAAGTTGAAGGTATGTAAGTTGATTTAAGTAATTCACAGCATAATTGGATACTTCTTCAGAGACTTCATACTGAAATCAATTTATTTTGACATTGCAAGTGATAATGTAGCCACTTACTAAGTAAATACCACACATAAAGTGAAGTTCTTATATAATTGCTATTACAACTTATTTCATTATTCATCTATGTATGTTATGTAAATGTTTGCATAGGTACATCTTATTTGACTATGAAATATACTTGTATGTAATATGAAAGTTTACATATGAAGGATTAACATGTGGCCATACAATTTAAATGAATTGATAACTGTTAACTTATTATGTATTTATTGTTTACCATGTTCCATTCATTCCCTTTATGAAAAAAATTCAAGTCGGTTCTCCCAATTGTGAATTTTTTCCATCGTAGTTTTAATCAAATATAAAGCAGATAACAGAAAATAACTCTAAGAAGGTAATCACATACTTTTAAAAAAAAAGTAATGTATTTATAATCAAAAAAACTGATCTTCACATTACTCTTCAGATTATTTAAGTGCAATTAAAAAATTGTGTGGGCTTTAAAATACTAGCTTCTGGCTTTCACACTATGGTTTTAAAATTGGTTGCCCTGATTGTCTGTCTAGTAAACAACTATTTATGGCAAATTCTCTCACCTAGGCTTAGAACTATCACTGTGTTGTCCCTAGCCAGTACATTGCACAAATCAAATTATTCAAGCCAGTGCCATTGCTAGAAACTCTTTTTAAAATAAAATATTTTTAATAGCAGAAATGTATAATATCATTTTAGTCTTCTATTATGATACTGTACTACCTATGATTTAACATCTTAATCAGCCAAAATAGTGACCTGCAAGAATAAATTGTTTATTTGTTCACTAATTTGACCAGCAGTTGACTGCTTGACATTGAACTGAGGGATAAATGAAGAAAGTAAGGCTATTACCTTTAAAAAGATTAAAAATCTAACTTTAATTTTGCCTACTAGTTTTAAAGCAAAATTTACTTTTATTATACCTTTTTATATTGTTTTCATGCCATTGTTCTAATAGATTAAAGAATGTGGCTTTGATTCCTGGTTTTCATTCACTTCTAATTTACAGAAAGAATTGCAAGTACATACTCCATTTGCTGCTGACATACAAATAGAAAAGAAAATAACTTTTTAAAATGTTATGGGTTTTATCAGTGTATGTCTGAATGGGAAGTGATTCTGTGCCTCTATGTCCTTCTTTTTAATCTTTTGAAAAAATTACTTGGCTTGATTATTAATTCAGAATTATTAATTCAATATTATTGCCAATATTCCTGCATCTGAAACTTGTAATGGTATGGAAAATTAAAAGCACTAGTGATATAATTATTAATATAACTAAATGGAAACTAGAGATGTGATTTCATTCTTCCCTCCACCAACAGAATTAGGATTTACATTAGCTTTTAAACATAGATTTCTATATTCAAGACCATATTTTCTTATGTAATGCTTGTTGTTTCTACTGCTAGAGTGTACTTGACTAATTCAGCAGATGGTTAGTGGGCACCTGATCTGTGGTGGATAATGTTCTCAACTGTGAGAAAAGAATACTAGACAGAGCAGACCAGTTCTGGGTCCCAATGGAGTTTACTTCCATCAGGAGAAAGAATCACAAAATAAATACGGAATGCAATTTGAGATAATGATAGGCACTCTCAAGAAAAATAAAACTAAAAAAAAAGAAAAAGAAAACAAGGCAAAGCAAAAGAGTGAGCCTGGTTAGGGCAGTGGCACCAAGATCAGACAGACTTTCTAGGCAGGGGCTGAAATAAAGGGGCAGGTAGCAGGTGCAGGTCTAGGCAGGTGAGCTCCAGGCCGAGAGAACAGCCAGGGCGAAGCCCCTCTGAGTGGAATGCGTCACCGTAACCCAGACACAGTGAGGGCCAGCGCTGCTGCACCAAAGCTAGACAGAGGGTAAAGAGCCCATGATAGTTTAGGTTTTCTTCTAAATGTGTTATAATAAAAATATTCCAAAATAAAAAGTTTCTTTATTTATATACATTAGCTACAGTGGTACCTTGGTTCGTGAACATTCTTGTGTGCAAGTAATCTGGTTCGCAAACAGAAGCATTTGGCATAATTTTGTTTTTGTTTGCCAACTCCGCATTGGGTAACAAACACAACCGACACCATCTTTCCCACACAAACACCAATGTGGCCATCTTTTCCAACACTGTGAAACAAACTAAGTTGGTGAACCACTAAGTTTGTGTACCGCTGTATTTATTTTTATGTACGGCCCAAGACAATTCCTCTTCTTTCGGTGTCCCCCAGGCAAGCTAAGCAGGTCGAAGCGAGGGCCATAGGTCTTGAGCAGATGAGCAGTGTGAGATAGTTTATGTAGAGAAAAAAATCACTCTGGCTGCTGTCTGGAGAATAAATCCTAGAAGGGCAAAGATGGGTGCAGAAAAGACAAAGTTCACTTACATAAAAAGAAGTAAGTGGAGAGGTAGTTACATACTAGTAAAAATTACGTATAAATATTTTAAAATGTTTCCAACATTGCCAACCATTTAGGAAAATCCGAATCCCATCTGAACAATATTTTTATCAAAAGAAAGAACAAGTTGAAAGAAAAAATTTTTTGAAACTTCATACATGTCATTTCATTAAGAGATTTACTTCTGAGACTGTTAAAACATTGTAGTTTCGGGGCGGGGCCTGGGGCTGTCAGTCCCACTGCCAAGGCACCTTGCGTGCTGTGGCCCAGCATCCCCAGCGGCCTCCGGCGTCCCGGCCCAGCACTCAGCGATTTTAGGTGAAACTTCTCAGGACAAAGGTGAACCAGAAGTAAAACCATGTTTCCTCACTCCACTGGGACAGCAGGAAAGGTTTCCTCCATATTGAGCAAAGGAAAAGGAAAAAAGAAAGATAACTTGTGTTATTGGCCAATCTTTTCACAGATTTTATGCATGGTTGTATATCGTATCAGTTTAACCCTAGATACCTGGAAGAATCAGATATGAGTCTTCTCTGGAAGAAGGTACTTTTTCCCTAATTTTCCAGAGTCAATGAGCAGTATGATCAGAAATAGTAAGGCATACAAAAAGGCAAAATACAATGAAATAGCAGAAACAACTGGTAGAAAAAGTCTCACAAATTCTTTATGTGTAGTTAAGTGTAGATTCAAATAAAAAGTTTTGCTTATTATGTTTATAGAAATAAAGGTAAGCTTGTAAATATCTTCAGTGAATAGATAGCAATTAAAAGTGGCTTGGCAAATTTGAAAAACAAAACCAGACTTCTAGAATTAAAACAGTAAATTTCTGGGTAACCACAAGAAGAATAGAAGTAAGATATCTAACATCCCAGTGAGTTAGGGAAGGCCCATCTGCAACATAAGGTCATAAGAAGAGTGAAAGTAAAATAAATGGTAGAAAAATGCATACTGTCAAATAAGAGCAAAACATCAGATAAAGTAGACCTTATGGTTAAAAGCATTACTTGGGATATATTATTCTTTTCACCAGGAAAATATTACAATTTGAAATTTGTATGTACCTAACAGCAGCATACTGAATAAGAAAAAAAAATGACAGAATTACAAAAAAGAATAGAAAGGACCACACTCACAGCTATATTAAATGAGAACTGCTACAACATTGTAAAGAAGAACTAGGTGCTGTTATTGTAAAGCTTGTGATAAAAGTATAGTTATAGTAACAACATGGTACTACTTCAAGAGTGAGTAAATAGTCCAACAGAACAAATAGAAATCCTCAAAACTCCACTATATTTATGGACTCTTGATGTATTACAAAGGAGACACTAAAATAAAGGTGCACTTTCCAGTAAATGACACTAGCACTCATTAATATGGACATGGAAAATGTAATTTGCATCACTTTACGTAAGAAAATCAATTTCAAAGAGATTTAAATCTTAAAAGTGATTTAAATCTTTCAACATTGAGAAAGAAATTTGTAAGCTTTATGAGGACAGACTATGCCCATTTTATTCACCACTTTGTCCCAGGATCTTCTACAGTGTCTAAAGCCAAAGCTGTAGCACTCTGAGTACTATATACTAAGTACTTACAACCATTCTCAGATGATAACTACTCACATATGGGAGGAATTTACATAATAAACCAAAACCAATAAAAAAATCGTAGTTTTGGGCCAGGGATTTAGCTCAGTGGCACCACGCCTGCCTCGAAAGTGCAAGGTCCTGAGTTCAATCCCCAGTATAAAAAAAAAAAATTGTAGTTTCATGAAATTTTTTTTTGATTTAGGATCCTACATTCTTTTGAATCTTTGTTTCCAGGGAAAGAAATTCAACCCTTTTATGTATTCCCTACCTAGGTGAAATCAGAACTCAGTGTAGTGTTTATAAAATTCAAATTCCAGTGTTGCCCTTACCATTACACGTAAAGATGTGGCTAAATTGGCCCAAACTGATAAAACATCCACCTTGTTTGTTTATTTTTCAAAGAAGACAAGGCTGAAACAGTTCATTAGGTCTTAAAAGCATCACAACAGAAAGTAAAAGGAGGATGGATCCACAGAATTAGTGTTGCTGTTTTGAGCCACCTGCTCCAAAATGAATGTTTAAATAAAGCTTGTCCATGAATGTTCACATCAAGTGAAACAGTGTGTAGGGAGAGTCACAGGATCTCCCTAAATGCTCATAACTGGGTGATTAAAGGTTTCTCAAAAGCTCACAACATTTGAGGGAAATTACTGCATTCCTGGCTGTGGAGGGTAACATAATGTCTTCAGTTTCTTTCACAGACTGATTCTTTATTCCTGTGTTTTGTGTATGTGTGTTTTTTTTTCTCTTTTTTATGTATCATGGCACACGAGCAGACATTAATGAATGTGAACAAGTGCCCAAACCCTGTGCACATCAGTGCTCCAACACCCCTGGCAGCTTCAAGTGTGTCTGCCCCCCAGGACAACATTTATTAGGGGACGGGAAATCTTGCGCTGGATTGGAGAGGCTCCCACATTATGGCACTCAATACAGTAGCTATAACCTTGCGCGGTTCTCCCCTGTGAGACACAACCGTCAACCTCAGCAGCATTACAGACAGTACTCACATCTCTACAGCTCCTACTCAGAGTATAGAAACAGCAGAACATCTTTCTCCAGGACTAGAAGGACTATTAGGAAAACTTGCCCCGAAGGCTCTGAGGCAATCCATGACACATGTGTAGGTAAATGTCAGCCGTGTTACATTTCCTCTCTGTGGGCTCACTTGAGCAGAGTCTCAGTAGGGGGACAGCACCCATTATTGTTTGGGTGCAGGGAGCTACATACCATCTCAACTCTGGGGTGACATTTATTTTGGCACTTAAAACCATTACAAACTTTATTCAAATAAATGATGTGTTTACATATGTGCATTCTATAATTTATTGTTATATTAACAGTTTCTCATTTTGATTGCCCCTAAAAGTGCTACTAAATTTAATGCTATATAGAAACAAATTTTAGTGGCATCCAGAATGAAATTTTAAAAGAAGGCATACTTGTTGTCACGTAATACAATCAGATTATGGCTACATTTGATTGATGCAAAAGCAATGGATTAATCAATTATTCTATATAACAACCAACATCCCATTGACTGTTGGCCCCACATTCACCATGGAATTTCTCGGTTTGATTATTTTGTGTATGCATGTCACAGAAAAGAAAATGTGAACCAGGACAAAATTAAGTTGCTTTCATCACTCTAAAATATATGCATTCAATACCTTTATCTAAACTCACAAGTCTATAATTTTATGTGTTTGCAAAAGTGTAATTTCCACCTTAAGAACTGAGGCCTTGTTTTTTCTATTAAGTTGTAAACATTACCATCTGTCATTCATTTAGCTCAATTTTCTGTGAGTGTCCACAGTTTGCATGGCATTGAGCTAATTGCTTAGGGGAATTAGAAAACAGAAATTAGCCCCACTATTTGTTAGACATAAAAGAAAACAAAGAGAAAAAACAATAGAGACATAGAGAGGAAGGAAAGACAGAAATTCTGTTTATATTAAAGCGCTATATAGCCAACTTCATTTTCTTATAATTCTCTTAAGTGTTCTACACTTTGCTTATTCTCTGCTGTTTGCATTCTACTAAACGTTCAAAAATTCTAAGGATTTCTTCTCCTTGTAACTTCAGGGTTTGGGTTTTTTTTTTCCATTTCTCTTTTCTACCCTTCACCAACCCCTGTTCTTAGATTATTAACTTGTCAGACATGCTTCCTTGGTCAATTTTAGGTGGACTCAACTTCTCAGCCTCCTCTACTTAGTTGGACCCTTCATCCTTCTGACCACTCAAATTTTACCCTTTGTTCTATGATTCATATTTTCCCAGAACTTTTCCTGAAACTTGGTATAATGGATACCTCTTCCTAGTGATGAGCTTCACAGAGCTGTGGACAGTGCTAGTTGCTAATGCTTCAAACATTAACTCATTTATTAACAATGTTCTGCATTTTGTCCATGTGGTCAAACATTACATAATTTCTAAATTTGTGTACTCCAAACCATTCTAAGTATTGGTCATTTTTCGACCTAGAATTTTGACTTATCGTTAGTTAAAATTTTGACTATTCTTTTATTGACAGGCAACATCTGACATTTTGTCTTTCAAAGTTTCTTCTAGTCATTCTCTCAGAAGGATTTTCAGGGCCATTACCATTCCACTCTCAGATTTCATTATAGATAAGCTCTTTTCTTCTATTCCACCTTAACTCCTGCCCAGAAACTTTGTGCTATGATAGATGAACTAAACCAGACTCCAGCTCTAAGCACCATCTAGCTGGTTTCCTCTGAAAATTCAAGTCATTTTAAGAAAGTTCCCCTGATTAATAACCCAATTCTCTATTTTTTGCTACAACATATAGCTGTATATTTGTTATAGTTGAATCTTATGAATGTTTTCTGTCTTTATGTTTTTATTACACCAATATTATGGTGTATTGGACTGACTTTTCTTAGACAGTCATCCAGTATTTAGGGCAGCTCCTGTCTCAGAATGAATATCAATCTTGGAAAATCTAAAGTAAACTTTTATAGCTAGTCAGTTCCTGGATATTAAACTTATTTGGAATGACTAGGTTTAGCCATTTCTTAAACTGTGGTGATGATTTTATTGTATTGGGACTAATAAAGAAATTTACACTAAGACTGAAGACAACTCCTGAATTTTGTAATGAGTAATGTACTATAAGCACCAAATCCCTTTAATTAACCATCTGGAAATAGACAAGTTACAAAAGATTCTCATTAACACTATGAAATCTTGTTAAAGCTGAGCTAAAATTTAGTTTGTGGAGGAATTGACTCCAAAACTAACAGAAAGAATGAACATGGCATTGCTTGTGAATGCAGAAATCATATGTGGGACTACTTTAAAATTTATGCACTGAGAGGGTTCCATGTTAACTACTTGAGGTTGAACATAATCTAAATTTCTTGTAATTATATTAAAGCAGATTTTAAGGAGAAAAAGTAAAAATAACTCACACAAGTTATGAAATGGACGTTGTGGTTAACTAAAATGGTGCAGAGACACTGACAAATACTTGATGCATATTTATCATTAGCAGCTTTTGAATCACTGCAGTTATATTTTTGCATGTGCAAAATCCTTTTGCTGTGAGTCATCTCCCAGAAGTCACTTTATCTTTTCTTTAGTTCTACCCTAAAGCACACCTGCTCCTATTTCATGTCATAATCAGTTTTCCACTCCCCAGGGACTATGAGAAAATTTAAATATTAGTCAAAGCAAAATGCAGTTGGGACAAGAAATGTTAGATCTCCAAAATTACATCCCTTATCATTAAAGCAAACATTAATTAATATTGAATTATAATCTATTCTCACGCTCCTTTTTATTGCTGTTTTCTCAATTCTGTTTATGAACAGCAGACAGCCTCCATACAGTTTGTAGAATGCTTTCTGAAATGTTACTGCACGTGAACTTTCCAACAAACCCATAAACTAGGGGAGATGGTCCCAATGTTCCCTTTTGGCAGAAAAATCAACTGAGATTTTGAGAAGTTGATGGCCTGCTGAACATAGCACAATTATATATATGAAGTTGCCATTAGTACTCTACAATTATCTGAAAAGTTTGATGAATATTTCTATCACAAAATGAAAACATTTGCTCTCTGTGGAAAAACTATGCAAGGGTTGGGGTTGCAAGGAGAAAGAAAGAAGAGCTAATATTCCTTTTTCCCTTTACTCTCAAGAGAAGCTTTATCTTTTAGGTGACTTTGACCTAAGAGTTTAGTTCTTCAGTGGATTAGGATCTTACACAAATCTGTCACCTCTGTCATTTCAGTCTAACTTATTTAACTAACAAACATTGATTAGTTTAGAGCTTCAGCTTATATAATAAGAATGTTAAAAATAGGTCCATATTTTATAATATAGTGTGTAGTGTCTGTGGTAGTAGATTTAATAGTATTTTATGTCATCATGTAGATTTTGATATAAAACAGCACCAAGCATTTTAGGCACATGGGTGTAAGATCACAAAGAAATTTTTATGTTGTATATCAACAGCTTGTTTTTAGTGCATTCTCTCACAGCTTCTGCCCCTGGCATGGTTTACATCTCTCCTTTCTTTCTGGACAGATATTGATGAATGTCAAAATAGGGACACCTGCCAGCATGAGTGTCAAAATACCATTGGGAGCTATCAGTGCATCTGCCCACCTGGTTATCAACTCATGCTCAATGGAAAGACATGCCAAGGTGAGAAAATGTTGGGATTCTTGTTGCTGCAACTTAACATAAGACCAACATAGGAGAATGTAAGATGGTTGTGTCAATAATTATTCTAGTTGCTTCCCCTTCTTTCCCATTCCCATTGGTGAGGATTATGATTAAGCATTGCTTTTTAAGCAGGAAAAGCAATAAGAAAGCAAGTCAGTAAAGGAAAAGAATTGAGAAACATTTTTGGGCTGGCCTTATTGAGAGAGCAAGTAAAGGAATAGACTTTTAAAAACTTTTTTCATTAGTTAGCTAAGATGGAAGGGAAAATCAAAAGAGTACTCAGTAAATTTACTATGGTGTAAAGCACTATCTTATATTTTATCTCTCATTAGACTTATTTTTAGTGATTAGTGGGTAATAAAGTCGATAATCCATTCATTCTTCCAGTCTACAAATGATGTGGAACACTCTTGTGCTAGCAGTGCAGGATGCAGAAGGCTTAAACTTTTGATGAAAAAGATACAGTCCTTCCTCTTAAGTGCTTACAGTCTAGTGGAGACAGATGTAAATAAATCAAAATGCTAGCTTATAGGTGTTATATTAGAGTTGAGGATAAAATACAGTGATAATAGAAAAAATATCAATCTCAGTAGTTCCCATTTTACACAAAAATGTGAATGGGTAATTGTACTTTGGTGAGGTTTTTTTTTTATATTGCAGTGTATACTCAGATTAAAATAAGAATTTATATAACTTTTTAAGTCTTCTTCCAGGGGTGGTGGCGCATGCCTGTAATCCCAGCTCTAGGGAAGCTGAGGCAGGCGGATCTCTGCAAGTTCTAGGCCAGCTTGGGCTACGTAGCGAGTTAAGGACAGCCTGAACTGCCTAATGAGACCCTGTCTCAGAAAAACCAAAAAAATAAAATAAAATAAAAATAAAATCTTCTGAGAATTCCTTGTAATTTTGTGAACAAAATTTACAAGTGTTACATAGAACTTAATAAGTTTCTGAATTGTATTAATTTCTGTTATATAAAAACTACATTCTTTTATAAATTATAGCAAATAATTTATAACAAATAATTTGGAGTAATTATTCCAAAGAATGGTCCATCAGTAGCAGTCAAATTGAGATTGAATTTTCCATCTCTTGCATTCACAGAAAACTTGCTAGGAATCCAGTTCATGGAAAATGTGTTCTAGAAAATATGCCAAGACCTGGATGGGTATTGGATTTGCTTTAGTTGCCATGAGTCATCCCTATCTCTCCCCTACCTGTTTACCTTCCCTGAGAGTCACCATCAGATTGTGGGGCCTGGAGAAGGAACCCGAGCTCAGTGATAACCTCTTCTCCCACTCATCGGTCATTGAATGTTATTAAAAATCTACTCATACTCAATATTTTGCTGGGATTTAAAGTATTAGAATAGCACATTTCTATTATAATGTTGTTTCTTCAAAGCAATTATCATTTAGTCAACAATGTAGAAATACCAAGGGCAATTATTTGTACCCATTGTACAGATAGTAATATTGATTCTCAGAGTGATTATATGAGGTCAATATCCCAAAACAAATCAAGTACAGAACTAGGGCTTGACCTTAGATCATGTATGTTGTCAAGAATACTCCTTTGTCTCCCGTGATGCATTGAGCACCAGGGGCATTGCTTTGTGGCATCAGGGAGTAGGAGCATTGACTTTGTCCGTGTTTTAGAACCTGCCTCAAGTCTTCAACCCAAGAATCTTTCAGGAGTTCCAGGGCCAAGTGCCACAGCTGCATACCCTGCAGTTGTACAGACACCATGGAAAGAAACAGGGCAGATCCTATGGGATATTTAGAATAGCCCACTGAACCACAAAACCTCTTCACCAGATTTTAAAGGGCTATATCATATACTCATTAGGGTTATTTTTCTTCTTTTCTAAACTTTGTCAGTTTATTTTTAATTGCCTTTGTTACTCATTTAACTCAAAAAGTTTTTCAGCTTTTATTTGTGCTGCAGAATGGAAAATACTGTGAGCAAATCAGAAACAGGTGTCCCTTGAAATGTTTGCAATTTAAATGGGTTATATATTTTTGTAGCTTTTAAGAAAACACAAGAGAAAACAATTATCCCCTGTAAATAAGTTTTTACTCTGAAGAGTAACTTGGAGTCATTTTATAGGTGTAGAAAGTGTTTGTCATCTCAGAGTCATCTATGAGGAACAAAACAGTGCTTTTGATTCATACTGGATTTTCTAAAGCTTTGTATATTAATGATAGAAATGTCAGTAAGGGAAATTAAAGAGAATTTAATGTGCAACAAGAACAGAGATTCTTGTTAAAAATAGAATTCATCATACTGTAAAATGAAAAGCAATGAGAAGAAACTAAAAGGTCCTCATGCTAATTGAATGCACCACTAACCTAATTCTAAAAACTTAAGAACAATATGTTGGCACTGCATTTGAAATGAGTGTTCTCATCCTCCTTTGTTTTTAAAAAAGTAATCTATACTGCTTAGCAAGAATTGCTTCCATTTTCTATGTTTTGTTTATCCTAGATGATTTTTTCAAAGTATCCAGAAGCACTTAAACCTATTAACATAAAATTGTTTTAAAGTTCATTTAAGGATCCTTTATGTATAACAATAATATCTGTAAGACGTCTACACTTTAATTTCTATCATAATATTCCTGTGATATTTAATAAAAATTAAACAGCACCTCATTGTTAACAGAAGACAAAGTTGTGGGTTCTCTGTTTTGTCTTCTTTTTTATTTTGTTTTTGTACTTGATTTGTCTTCTTTTTTAAGAACAGTGGGCGGAATAACTGAGTAGAGTTTGAAGAGCAAAAAGCCTATAAGATATTTAACCCTGAAGAGACTGTACTAGACCAAAGACAAAGGAGGACCGCTTGTCTAGCAGCACCATATTTATGAAAGCTTTTTATGGAAAGCAAATACTATCATGGACTAAGGACAAACACTTGTATACTGGATTCTGATATTTCTTTATAGATTCATATTCAGCCGATGAAAATCTCTAAGTCCATTGCTAGTGTGATGCATCCAGATGTGTCTCTCCACTGCCCTTGTCATACCCCTGCAGCCCACTAGCCTCTCTGTTCCTGCATAAGTTCACTATAAACATTAGAGATAAAAGGAAAACTTAAAAATAGGTGATCAGGGGAAATGTTTTAATAAGAGACAGGAAGATAAGGCTAATTGAATTTCTTTCACATTTTTCCAGAGGGCTTTTCACTTCATTCTGAGACAATCTTAATTTGTCAAGGAGAGAAAGCACTTCTGACATATAAAAATCATCATTAGACATTGTTTTGAAAGTGGTAGTAGGCAAGACATGACTGAAGTAAAAACTCATTTCCCACTGTGTAAATTCCAGTTGGGGAAACTAATATTAAAACTAGAAACAGAAAGCACATTATCAGCAGATACAAGTAACTAAAAAAGTCAAGTAAGTGATTTGCTGCCTATAGTATAGCACAATATTTTTCACTGTACAGACTGTAAATAAATTTAAAATAAATAATTACATTTTCTGTGGGTTCCTTACAAAGCAAAATATATTTGGAATCAAATTTTTAATTCTCATTTTTTGTTCAAAAATGAAAATGGTAGATAATTCAAAAGTAAAACTTGACATTTATTGTCCATGATTAATATACTGTCCCTTGAAATTTCTCCTCTCCTTTCTCTTTCTTTTATAGCAGTGCTCCAGGTTATTTAACAGTGTACAAAAGTAATTGACCACTTCATCACAAGTCCATTATAAATGCCATTATGCAACTGGTACATTGGCTGCTACCATGAAATGATACAATAGTTACACAGGTCCATTGGTCAGCAACACCTCCATGATAGAGGGACTTTCAGATCCCACCTCTTGGGAGAACAGTAATTGTAATTGTAAATGTTATTGTGATTGTTCCCTTCCATACATCAGGATCTTTTTTTTTTCAATTGCTTGAGAGGAATGCTACAGATGCCCATATGCAGCCAGTTGATCTAGACTTGAAAATCTTACACCTCCCTCACACTTTCTAATTAACCTCTAAAGTTACTTATAAATTTAAACTGGATGCAAAGGATCTGAATTCTTTCGTTATTATTTCATGTATACATGCTTTAAATATTTTTTCATCAAAACTTTAGAGCTGCAGATTCACTCTCAGTTAATACAGAATGATCATTCTATAATTTAAAAATCTGTACTTCTTTTCAAAGTACAATCATATTGACTGTCAGAAAAAGTCTTAATGTCACTTTTCTGTTCAAACAAAAGTGTTTATTAATATTTCTCTGGCAACCAACTCACTTCCAAAATCTAATTTAAAATAGAAGCCAAGACCATAGGTTTGTAGTCATGTTAAAATGAGGCCTGCTGCCGTCAATATGTGTTACCAATATTTTCATCCTTTTGTTCATGCCCTGGGATTATTGGCAGCCTTTCTTTTGAGAAGTACAAGAAGGTTGGAAAAGGGAAAGGGGGAAAGGCAAAGGAGACTTCCAGGCCTCCAGCAGTTTTCAGATTGATTTTAGTAAAAACTTGTGGTAAATGAGAATATGGAAATTAATTCCCTAGAATCTTTGCCTGACCTCATATTGCTAAAAAAACCCTTCATATGCCCCCAGCGAGAGGTAGTTTAAAAACTGTTGCTATAAAACATGGCTTTTTAACTTTCAGATCTCAAAATCCCTCTAAAATTTTGAGCTCTATGGACTGTCTTTCCAAGAAATATCTCTTTCTGTCTGTCTCTCTGTCTCTCTCTCTGTCTTTCTCTCCCTCTATCTGTATGTCTCTCTTAGTCTTTCTCTCTTACTCTCTCTGTTTCTCTCTCCAGCACACATACAGATATCCATACCCAACCCCATTCTCCCCCAATACAAATACAAGTCTACTGACTCAAGTGTGTTTCTACTTAACAACTACAGAAAACCACAAAATAGAAGTATTTTAACAGCATATGTCCCTCATAATCTTGCTATTACCCTAGGGAGAGCATCTTATTGCCGTACAACCCAGGATGAACTCTGCACAGTCTGATTCAGTTGAACACTGCTCCATTTCATCAAAATTGGACTGTTGTTCGTGGATCATGAATCTGATCCTGTTGTTGTTTTGTTGTTTTATTGTTTTGTTGAGTCTTTGTCTCTCACCTCAAGATTTGATTGACCTCATAATAGATAATGTGAAATAGGAAGAAAGGGGAAGGGGAAGAGGGAGGGGTAGGGGAAAGGAAAGAAGGGAATGGAATTAATATGAGAAAAGGAAAAAATTGAAACAAAGTCTTTGTAGATAGGGAGGGGTTGAGCGGTTGAAGGGAGGGCAGGGGAAGGGGGAAATAATAAGAACCAAGAGAGATTATGTAAAGATGCAAATTTCCAATGATGAATGTCATTATATTGTATACCTAAGATGTACCAATAAAATTAATTTTTAAAAAAAGATTTGATTGACCTCTACAGTCTTGGCTGCACTTATAACTTGATACCTTTAATTTCTATGGTACTATTCCCCCTCTCAACAATTTAAACTTAAACAAAATACTAGTGAAGGGGCACTCGTATTTTTTTTTATTAAATTCTTTTATGGTACATTTTAGGTATACAACACAATTACATTTCTCATTGAGAATTGTACCTTTACATAATGCATCTTGGTTCTTATTTTTT